AATCTCAAATGTGATACATTCCATTTGAGGTGTATATTTTCTGAAGAAAAATTAGAATTTTATTGGTGTTATTGCATTACACCAATAATTTTATTTCAATAACACGAGGCCCATAAAACGTAAGACGCCATGAAATCCGGACCGTCAATCGTGGGGACCAACAAATAAATCATCAACGGATGAATTCGTCGGAAAAATTATGCTTAAACGAGTATCAGGTAGCGCACTGTGCATAATTCCAATCACATCACGGTGCACCTTTCTTTCAAGATTCCACAGTATCGGTTACGTGGGCTGGCGCGCTTGTCACACGTCGACGGAAGGAAATGGGATACTGATTGGTTCGTTATATTTTCTTCTCTCTTGCGGGATTGATATTTTGTTTGTTTTGCTTTTAGTTGCTTTTTTGTCGTGTGTGTGGGGGGGGGGGGGTGAGTTCAATGCCATACAAAACACAAATAGGAAAGCTGCACGCACAGACAGACAGACAGACAGACAGACAGACAGACAGACAGACAGACAGACAGACAGACATCAACCCTCGATTTCTCTCCCACCTCGCGTGTGGTGTGAGCCTTTTACCACAAACAAATCTGACCTCACCACCATTACAGGAGAGAAGAAGAAAAATGACCCGCCACTTTGCGCATCTATCTCCTGGGTGGTGGACAGAACGTTCGGGCGATTTGTAACGCCTTTAAAGAATAACAAGAAACAAAGGAAACTTAACTAATTCGGCTCATCAAGCGCCATGAATTAATTCCGCCGTATCGACCCGCCCACCACGTCCCACCACATAAGCGCCGTGTGTAGGTGGGCTGGTTTCCCCGGACTGTAATGTACTGCTGTACTGTGGGTCTCGCGTCACACTGTGCCGGGCGGCTCCTCCCGATCTCTCGCCGATCAAGGAGAGCCGGGGGCACAGAGCTGGACCACTGGGCGGACGGCGCTTTTTTATTTGTTAGCTCTTCTTTTGTTTTTTGTTGTTGTTTGTTTTTTGCTTCTTGGTTGTTGTTGGGAGGGTGTTTTTTTTTTCTTTTGTTTTTGTGTTTTCCTCTTGTTGTTGCTTGGTTGTTTGTTTTGATTTGTTGTTGTTGTTTTTTGGGGGAAGGGGTCAATTTTTATGTTTGCTTGTTTGTTCGTATGTTTGTTTGTTTGTCGGTTTGTTTGTTGGTAAGGTAAATGTTTTACGGAGCTTGCAACTGCATAAGGTCATCATATGAGCGCGCGGGACACATTAAACATTTTCAGTTAGTAGGAAATATTGAATTTTGTGCGGGAGGCGGCTAAAGCCTATTCTCATCGATTTTAGGCCACCAAGGGATCTTTAACGTGCGCAACTTACACACGGGCCCTTCGAGATTTTTCGCCCTTGTCCGAGAAGGCTAGGTGCAGATCTTTCCTACCAGGAGATCAAGGGTGTGGCTGAAAGACAGCAGTAAGAAGGAGCCAAGGAGTAGCAGTAGAAAGGCTGCCGAAAGAGTCAGGAGCCCAGATGAGAAGGCAAAGGAGGTGAGAGGGTGGGAGCAGAAAGTGGAGACGAAAGCAGACGACAGAACATTGCAAGAGAGCAGGAAACAAGGTGAAAGGAGACGATTTTAGAGAAGAAAATATTTCCGTCGCTACCCGGATTCGAACCTGGGACCTTTGAATGAGAGGTGAACACCATAACCTCTAGGCCACGAGAGCCCCCTTTTGTTTGTCGTTTGTGAGGGTTCTGGGGAGGGGGATTACTTCCAACTCTTGTTTTATTTGCGTTGCAGGTATTGAATTTTTTCTTTTTCTTTTTTCTCCTTTTTTTTCTTTGGAACGAGGGGGGGGGGGCTGTTATTGCTTCACCCCTTTCAGTCAAGAGCAAGCAGAGCTTACTGTAGTAACAAACATAAAAAAAAGAAAAAGTAGAGACAGTGACGACAAGAAGGAACAAACTATACCAGAGCACCAGTCTACCACCACGCTGAAGCTGAGAGATCGTGTAACTCGTGAGCAACATAGATGTCATTAATGAGTAAAGTACGAATAATATATGGGAGGAGAAATAACGAACGATGCATTGTGGGAATCGTGCCCCTGCCAACAAAGTCAAATATACAATTGAAGGAACCCCAGATTCAAAGCCCATTTCTGATCATTGTCTACATGTTATTCAGAATACAACGGATTGACCGTACTGGGGGGTGCCCCATCTTTCGAAAAAGTGAGACGAACGTTCAAGTATAGAGTTCAACTACAGAGCCATGAACTTCTATAGGTCGTTCAGCCTCAGCTGCCCACACCTAAGGGCGAATTATCGCGAAGTCCTCTGTTTGACTGCTTTGAAATATTCCATATAGTGTTAGACTTTACTGGACGTTACAGATTCTAAATTGTGTGGTTAAGAAACCTTTACAAGTTAGGTTCCGATAGGTTTCCTTTGATGTTCGCCCAAACTATGTCAGATTTATAACAGAAGTTTTACAATAGAAGTTACATACGATGACACGGAGAAAATGTCTGATTTTCGTTGCAACACACCAACATTTACAAAACAGGGGCGGAACTCGTAGGAAATGTATGAATGACCAGAAAGTCACCAGGTCCTTGGTGAACAAGTCCAGGCTGACGAGACAAACAAAACGTAAATAACTTTCCAAGGGCATAAAAATAATAACATTTTGGTTACAATGGACAGCTAACGCTTTTAAGTTTTTATAAAGATAAAAACTCACCAAAAAAGGAGAGGAGTCATTGATCGTCCTCAGAATCGGACCCAAAGGGATTGATAACCATCTTTTGTTGAATAAATCCAAGCCAGTCAGTTTTCCAATAATTGTTCTCTTCTGCCATGACGTGTTCAACACATTTCTTCCAGTAGTGTCGGTCTACGTCAAATGTAGCATTCATCGTCAATGTCTTGATGTCCGCGATTTTCAAAATCATATTTTTGTCAGCGACATCGTGTTTAATCCTTGCCCAAACCAACTCGATAGGGTTTTAATGGGAATGGTACGGTGGAAGTCTCAGGCTTGTGTGTCGATGAAAAGCTATGACTTTATCAATAGCATAGATTTTGGGTCCATTTAGACTTTTGACTATTTGCAAAAGTTCTGGTTTTAAAGCGTGCTCTGGGAACTCGATGCTGTTGGTACAAAGCCATTCTTTTATGTTGTCTTTTCTCCATGCGGAAGTTGGTGTTTTATTTTCCTGCGCAACGCGATTATGATACGTTGCATTGTCCATCACAATACACGTAGGCCTATCGAGAGCTGGCAGTAGCTGATGTTTCATCCAATCTTCGAATATGTCGGCGTTCATTTCAGAGTGATAGTCTCTGTTGTCTGTTGACTTCGATTGGAAAATAAGAGCGGCATCGGAAACAAAACCCACATTGCTGCTTTCGGCATGAGCGATGATTAATCGTTGACCCTTGCTGGAAGGGACGTGCCGACCCATAGTAGCGTCTATCGACTGCCACTCTAGCTCTTTAGTATGGTGAGCGTTAACCCAGGTTTCATCAATGTAAACTATGTCGAAACCCTCCTTTCTCTTTTCTCTGACTTCTCGTAGATATCTGCTCCTCGAGGCAACGAGGTCTGATCGTTCGCATAGGATGCCTTTATTGTGTCCTAGTCTTTTTCTGAACGTGAACCCTGCACTTTTCCAAAACGTTGTCTTGCTCAAAGAAATTTGCATTTCTTCTTCAACTTTCGGAGGGTCACTAGTTCTCGTTTTTCAAACATTCTGACTATAAGACGCTTTATCACATCTCGGCCAAAATCATCAACTTTCCGTGGTCTATCAACAACGGGTCTTTGGGGTTCATTTGCAGATTTTACACTGCTTTGAAGATGGCGATTTATTGTTCGCCGCGATAAAAGTTTCTTAAAAGCATGAACAACTCGTTTCTTTGGATTTGCAGTGAAACAGTATGTATATCCGCGATTGGCTTCCGCACAAAAGTGTGTATATACATGTTGCATAACAGTCTGTGCGGTGAAATATTTACTCTTAAGGGGCTTTGTACATTTTGAGGACATTTTCACAATTCAAAAAAAGTCTCGTCTGCCCTGAGTCATGCACGAATTGATCCTTTTCTACTTTTAGGCAACACAAGACGCAGCGCTCAACTCTCAACACTCTCCGCATGATTTCCGTCGGCGAAATTCACTCATCATCTCACAAAGGCCCCACTTGTATGTTGTGATAGAGTACACGCCTTTAGATTATTATGACAGTGCGTTTTCAAGAGATTTGTGAGTGAGCTGTTTTCAGTTCGTCAATAACACCGGACTTGTCTGTGTTGAAAAAGAGGTAAAAAATGACCAGCATGTCAGCGTGCTGTAAATACATGATTGTTTGTTTCCACTGGGGCTCGAGGTAAATACAAAGCCCAAACAAGCTATCTTTTGCGGTAAACCAACTACGCTTTTAGAAAAATAGTTTTCGTAACGTCCAGGTCATTTCACTTTATTTTGTAAAATTTCAAATCGAAATACTGAGAACTGATTGAGCAGGATTTTTCTAACCGTGGGCAGCTGTGGCTTAACGACCTATAGTTACTTTTTGTAAGAGATAGCCCTCACCAAGATACTAACAGCTTATTATTTTTCGAAATTGAGACGCTTGGTTCTATACCAATAACACATAGGAATGAAAAAAGAAGGTAGAACAGTAGAGATGATAACAACAGCAAAAAAAAAAAAATTTTAAAAAGCAAAAAAAGAAAATGAGTACTCTGAAACAACAGGAACAACAAAAACGATAATACCAGAAGCAGCATCGATAGCAGCATTCTATCTTGCCGACTAGTGTTTATGTACTGACAGCACTGTTCCGTTCTATACCCACAATATCACAGATCTCGGTTCAGGCAGCTGTAACCACAGGGGATAAGCACCCCTCTCTCCCCTCCCTCACTCCTCCTGTCCTTCTCCTAATTCTGAGGCTGAGAGCGAGCCTCGCGGCGAGAAAGGCGCGGTGCCAAACTACTCGGAGAGATCAACCTTTCAGTGCGGCTAGAGCACTACAGCGGTGAGGACTGCCGACTTTTGATTTCAGCCTAGGGCTTAGAAAAGCTCCTACAAATATTATTATTCATATGTCCAAGTGAGCAAAGGTAATCAAGATTGGTATCGAGAACTTACATAACCCCAAGGATGGATGCTTTCTGTCCGTGGGCTTTCGTGCTTTGAAAAGACAGGAGGAAAAAAATAAAACCCAGACACAAACGAGAAGCCTTGGATTTTAGCTATTGTTTTCATAAACGGTGAGTACGCACGATTTTTCAGTTAGAATCTATGCCTATATTGTATCATTTGAGTTGTAGTTTATGGTACAAGTACAGTTACACTTTTCCAGGAATTGTTGCGGAAAACAAAAAAGAACAAGAAAGGAAGAACAGAAAGAAGACTAAACCAACCAGTGACTATGATCTCGTTATAATGATAAATCAAGAAAGCCTAATTCAGCTCGTGCAACAATAATACAACATAGTCTACATATAATATGTAATTCCAAACACTGAGAAATCGAATACGCGGTGACGCCCTTTCATAGACGAGTGTCTGTCTTTGGTGATAGATGGCAGTTAAACAATTAAAGAATTGACTTTTTCTTATCCCTTAACGCTCTCTGTTCCTCCTGCGTCCCACCAATCATTTCTTCGAAGAGTCTATTGTTTTTAAATATAGTTGATATAAGAAGAAAAAGGCTCTCCTCGAGTTGACACCATAACAGCTGCATTTCGCTATGGAACGGCGAAAGACAATGCGTGTCGAAGCACTGAAAACAAGTAAGAACAGGGTATGTCAGAGTACATTCCGTCTCAATTCAGTTCGATTATAATATCTAGCCCTTCGTCATCCTCCTCTCCTTCAACTCTGCTTGCCTCTGCTACATTTTAAAAGAAAAGTCTCGGTTTTATCAAAGTGAGCATTAATTCTCTTTTAGTCTGCACTTTAACTAATAAGCTTCCATCTGTTTTAGTGGGTAGTGCTAAATTCCAAGCATTTCACTGAATACCCGTATTTCCGCTGCTGCGATATTCTCTAAGGCATATTATTAAGAACCAAGGAGTACTGTATCTGATACAGTACTCCTTGTTCAGTACATGTACCCATCATTCAGCATGTGTTGCACGGTATTTCTGTATCACTGCTCCAAGTTTGCCAACTGCTTCAAAAACCCAACTAGGGACGCCCAACGTCTTAACATCAGATTACGTAACAAAGAACAAAATTACATTAAGCGGGACTGGTTTTGGTCCAGTGTATATTGTGATACGGTTATCAAATTCCTGACTGCCGAATACAGGACAGTCCCGGAAAATTCGGGACAGTTGGCAAGCCTGCTGCTCAGAAAGCCGAGTGCAATTAATATGCTGCAATACTTTGTTGTCCCGGGAGGCTCATAGTACTTGAAGATCAAGGGAACAATTGGGAAGGCCTTTGCGACTTCTGCAGGTTCAACTGCTAACCCAATCTTGAGCATTGAAAAATGGGTGCGCGATTCTTATAATTTAGACTTCTGCAGGTTCAACGGTTAACCCATCTTGAACATTGAAAAATGGGTGCGCGATTCTTATAATTTAGTTCCCCAGTTTCCGCTGTTGCAATTCTCATCTTGATATTGATCTATGACGACAATCTTTAAAGCACTCGTTCTTGAGAAAAACAAACTCATTAAGTTTAAGTATACCCCCTACTCATTCTAAGAGTGTTCTTTCTACTCTCAAGAACATATACAAACACGCAACATGAAAAACCTATTCAGGCACCGTTTTCGGAGACACATATAATAACATTTTACAGGGCCTATTAAAAATGCAACGGTGCCATCGATAGTTTTCTTTCACCACGATTTATCGGCCCCATTCAGGACACATAAAGAGGAAAGAATTCCCCCTCCCTTTTAAGCATTTCCCACTCTTCAGATACAGACCAGATATTCCCAACTGTTGCTTTCTGTCTTTGTCCCAGCGTGCCGCAGTGCGCCAACTTCACAAACAGAAGCGCAACCGAGAGCAATGGCGTGTGTCTGAATGACTGCCAGAGCAAAGGGGTCAGTGGAGTGTCTTTATCTATTTATTTATTCATTTATCTATTCGTTCATTCATTAAGTGTTTTTCTTGGCTATTTATGGCATATATGGACGTATCTAACACCAAATGTATTTATTCATTTTAAAAAATGTTTAATCGTTGTTTCTTTGATTTTTAATACAATCATAGGTTTTTAAAACCCTTTACCTATTACCCTTTATTTTCATCGCCATCGAGTTAATATAATTTTCAAGGATAGAGATTCATGGAAAAGAAAGGGGGGGGGGGGTGATTAACGTGATATTATGGATACACATATCAACAAACAAACAAACAGGCGCACATAAACACATGTCTCCATGAGCCTACATCTGCATGACAGAACAGCGTTATACAACGTCCGTGTGTATACATGTACTTGAGACAAGAAAAGTGTTCACAGCGGGCCTCTACCGGGACGGGGCGCGGGGCGAGAGGTTCTGCCCGGTCTCGTCGAGATACCTAACCAAGACGGGCATGAAATATAGATAGCTGGGAGGACCTCTGGGAAGACCTCTGTGGCGCCTATCCTGATTGCCTGCACGCGATGGTGTAGTAAAATCTACGCACTAGCTCCACTAGATACGCACTGAGACTACCCCCACCGCGGACTTTGGTATAATAATATTATTA